TTAGGAGGGGAATGGAGATCCACCAATGACTGTACCTGCCTAGAGCCAAACTTGCAACGTCTGTCCTGGGCAAGATCAAGTCAAAGACTGGAGACCAACGGTCCAGGACGGGCGTGGCAACTTTGGCTGACTTGATCTGATTGGGCAGGAATACAGTCTACTACCCAATGGTGGAGTCTCCATCTCAGTGCTGGAGAATAGCCCACATGGAAAGAACAATCTCATTTATAGAAGCATAATTTTATGGGATGCTTTACCAGAGGGAGGATTAGCTGGCACTTTGTTGTCTGTACCATGCTAGGCAAAGACACACAGAGATACACCATATTTACACACCATTCTAAAGAGCTAAGGATGTATAAGCTAAGGGAGAAATCACAATAGGAGAACATATCTTCTCCAGCAGCCAACACCCAGATAAAAAGGGATTAACTTCAGATAAACAATCAAGCAGAAAACAATATCCTCATCAAAGAAAAACCAAGGAGAAAATCACACACCCATCAACACTGGCAGGCCAAGATATTGTATACGAACAGGGAGAAAACCCCACATCCACTAGCACCGATGATGTTACCTAGTGGGATAATGAAATGTCTGCAAGCAAACCACCAAGCTCAGAGAGCACCAAGAACTTCAAAAACCTTTTAATTTTACAGGCTTTCAACAGATTGACTTAATTTATTGCTTTGAACTCCTGATATTTTATACTGCTCTTTATACAGTACATTAATGTTTTATTATTAAATATTTTAGTGTTCTTTTGCTGATTGATCTAAATGTATACATTAAAGCAACTATAAGCTACTTCATAAAATTAATATATCAAACCTAAGAGGGCTTAATGGTTCAATACTAATGCACAGTTCAGCTTGCTGAAGACAATAGTAAACAAAAGTTTAAAAAAAAACATCCAACAGAATGTTCTCTTACAGTACCTTTGATGAAGAACTTTCTTACTTCTCTATAGATTTCCATGAGTACCTCAATATTTGGATTTCAAGACCAGGAATGCTGAAGAGGTCATCCTCCTAATCCCCTACAATCACAACCTCTTTCCATGAAATTTCCTTCGCCCTCTTGGCCTGCACCTCCTTCCCATCCAGGAAGCTCCTTAACCATCCTATATAGGAAATCTTCAACTAGGTAACTTCAGGCAAGATTCAATTACTCCATCAAAAGAAAGTCATCTTTCATGCTGCAGACCATACACAGCTGACCTTCTATCTCAATTATCCATGCCTCCCCCAATCCATTTTCACTAGAAACACGGGAGAGATGAAAGTCCAAACCTAGCTCTCACCTAGGTAATAGTTCAGGCTCTCCTCCCTACCCCATA